TTGTGTCTATGGCCCTCACCAGTCATTATTGAACTTACAGCTCAGCAGCAAATAACCTTTTGAATAATCTATAAAATGATTAAATCTTGATGCTGGGAGGAAACTGATAGATAACTTGATCCAACCACCTTTTGGTCTAAAAATATAAAAATCCTTCAGGCTATTGGCCCAGCTCCAAGGCCTAGTGGTTTAAGGGAGCTAGATCTCAGAAAGCCAACTGTGCAGTTCAAACTCTAGCCCTACTGGCTTGAAAAACTTGCTCACACGTCGTGTGCATGTGCTCTTCAAATCCCAGCAGGATGGAGAAATGGAGGAGAAGGGATTGTGACACAACCACCATGTCCCAGAGGGGAGTGCTTTCTCCCTCACCCTGTTTCTGTGGCCAGTACATGTGCCCTCTGGCAAATTAAAATTAAAACAGCCTGTAGGCCATAAAGAAGAATTAAATGTGTTAAAAAAAGAAAATGTGATTATCATTAAATGTATCTTTTAAAATAAATTGAATTTTACCATTTGCATGATGTAATTCTCAGGCTAAAATGTATAATGCTGAGGATAGGAAATCCCGTTGTTGGAAAAACACTTGCACATCCATGTTTATTGCAGTATTATTTACAATTCCTAAGACATGGAATGAATCCACATGTTTAAATATGGATGAGTGGATTGAAAAAATGTGGCATATGTACTCTATTCAATATGACTCAACCATAAAAACAATGAGACCATGACATTTGATAGATAGTGGACAACTATTGAAGACTTAATCCTAAGTTAAGCAAATGAAAGACAGATTTTGTATGTCCCCATTCAATATATACCCAATGTCTGTGCTTTATAGTAGAAACTGAAAGACTAGAGAGTGTAATAGTGGGGAGGACAACTGTAGATACCAAAGATAGTAAGGGAGGAGTAATAGGGGATGGATAATAGGGGGAGGGAGGTAGAGAGCAGGGGAAAAAACAAATAATACATTCAGTTGATACAAAAGTGCAAAGGTGTTTGCTGATGATAATGTTTAAGGTAATGTCTTTGTCATGACTGATATACACTGTATTTATGCTGGAAAAAACTATGTTGTACATTGTAAAGATGTATAGCGATTAAGTGTAAATAATATGTATATTTATATGCACACACACACATATATATATACTTCTTCTATATTATAAATATATCTTATATTCTATATTTATTATCTCTCTATATAATATAGATATCTATAGACATTTTTCAGAGGCTTTTTGCCTTAGGGCATGTGCTCTTGCCAGAGAGAGAGAAAGACACAGTGAGAGGGAAAGTGAGCAACCTCCTCCCCCCTGGAGGGTGTCCATGCTGCAGTCCCTTCTCCATTCTCCTTCTGGGATCTTAGTCATACACGCACATGTGCCCAGCATGATTTTCAAGCCACCTGGTTCAGGACTCAAACTGTAGTCAGCAATGTGGGAGTCCAGTAACATAACTGCAACTTCATCTGGTGATCCCTATATTTTAAAAAGAGCAAATATTGAGTTCTCAAGTAAAAGACATTGAAGTCCTTAACATATTATGAGCTGTTTTTTCCTGATAGTATTTCCTTTTCTTTTTTCTTTTTTTTTAGTAGCAATTTTAGGACTGAGATAAAAATAGATCAATATACAAATACAAAATGTTTTACTTAATGTTCCTATAGAGTAAAAAACTTGAATATTTTAGTTTGTTCTTTGTTTTAGAAAATATGATTTCATAGATGAGTTTTTCTGCCTATTGTAAGAAAAGGTAAAGCATTTGCCATAGATTATTTGCATATGTTTCAAATTTACTCTGGCTATCTAATTTGTCCATAAATAATTTAAGAATTAGTCAGAGGGCTTCATGACTTGAAACCAAATTCCTGATCAATGTGGTTACCTAAGGAATTTCACAGACATTCAAGGGACTATGTGGCAACCACAGTGACGTTGTAAGTGGGATGGCTAAATTTTATTTTTGACTCAGAGGGCAATATGAACTCTAATGGAAAAAATCATGATAGTTTTGTACGTAAGTTTTTTTTTTTTTTTTTTT